GTATAATGAGAGGGCGACTTTCGTACTTTTATTACCAGAGGGTGATATTCGTACCTGTATTATCAGAAGAAGATATTTGTATGTTGATTACCAGAGGGTGATATTCGGACCTGTATTATCAGAAGAAGATATTTTTATGTTTATTACCAGAGCGTGATATTCGTACCAGTATAATGAGAGGGCGACTTTCGTACTTTTATTACCAGAGGGTGATATTCGTACCTGTATTAACAGAAGAAGATATTTGTATGTTGATTACCAGAGGGTGATATTCGTAGCTGTTTTATCAAACGAAGACAGGTGTACGTTTATTACCAGAGGATGATATTTGTACCTGTATTATGAGAGGGCAACTTTCGTACTTTTATTACCAGAGGGTGATATTCGTAGCTGTTTTATCAAAAGAAGACAGGTGTACGTTTATTACCAGGGGATGATATTTGTACCTGTATTATGAGAGGGCGACTTTCGTACTTTTATTACCAGAGGGTGATATTCGTACCTGTATTATGAGAACAAGACATTCGTACGTTAATTAACCAGAGGGTGATATTCGTACCTGTATTATCAAAAGAAGACAGGTGTACGTTTATTACCAGAGGATGATGTTCGTACCTGTATTATGAGAGGCTGACCTTCGTTAATTAGAACCTGTTTTATCAGAATGTGAAATTTGTACTTTTAACATCAGAAATGACAGCTGTACGTGTATTATCAGGAGTTACATTTGATTTGTACGTGTATTTTAGTGAGAGTCTTTAGCATGTGCGAAATCAGAGAGTGACATTTTTACTGGTAACATCAAAAGTGACATATGTACGTTTATCGTCAGAGGGCGACATTTGTGTGTGTATTATCAGAGGGGAATGTGCACGTGAATTGTCAGAGGGTGACATTTAATGTCTTTGTGTTATCAGAGGTGAGTTATGCACGTGTGTTATCATAGAGTTACATTTTACGTTTATCATCAGAGGGTGACATTTGTACGTATATCATCAAAGGGTGACATTTGTACGTATATGACCAGGAGATGACATGTACGTTTATCATCAGAGGCTGACCTTTTTACTTGTATTGCGCGAGGGAAGATAACTGTACTTGTTGAACTTCAGTCCGACTAAGAGTATATAAAAATTGACATGACTTGTTCTGTTCAACCTAATCAAATCGTATACCGATCCAAATGTAATCGGTCTCGTGACAGATAAGGCGACATGTCAATCATTTCTATAAGATGTAAGTTCACAGATCACATTAGAGACAGCTGCTGGGATACGTATGATGTATAATCATGTTTAAAGGCCAGATTTAACTCTTGGTAGCTTTGAATTGAAGGATTCTTACAACAAGTGTGTAAACTCTAGCATGTGAAACCAATCTGTGATTTTCATATGAAATCCGACACATTCACTCTAATATTGTTAATTATATATGGTTTTGCTCAATTATGACATTGTATAAAGAACATGTTCTATACAACCTACCTCTGGGCGTACGTTTGATGTTACCGTTGTACAGACGACAACTATCTGATAATGTGTAACAGTACACATACACTGTGACTTGTACAGGTTATATTCCACATATTGCTAGAAAATTAAACATGCAAATTACCTTGATCTCTTTGGAAGGTCACAGGGGTCGAAAGTGTAAATGTATATAATGTGTGTGATAAAATAGGACTACATATATAATAAACATTTATATGATTTCTTTATTCGCTTGTTTTCCGTATTTATATATATATGCATCTGTATCAGAGTCATCATAGAATTAGGTTATCAGTTTAACAGCAATGTATCTTCAGAACCTTACATTGGTAACGATTTCACATAGTTCGCCGTTAGGTCATGGTGATAAACGTTAACGGAAGAGGAATGGAGTGACACATTGAATTATGAAAAAAATAGCCAAGCACTGATGCTAGTCCTGTTTCGACGAGAAAGAAATCAGCGGTTGGAGGCGACAAGTAGAGGATGAGATAAGGAGACGACTGATAACAAATAGAGGAGAGAGAGACGACTGATGACAAGTAGAGGATGAGATAATGAGACGACCGATGACAAGTAGAGGGTAGGAGAGAGAGACGACTGATGACAAGGAGAGGGAGAAGACCGATGACAAGTAGAGGATGGGAGAGGGAGACGACCGATGACAAGTAGAGGATGAGATATGGAGACGACTGATAACAAATAGAGGAGAGAGAGACGACTGATGACAAGTAGAGGATGAGATAATGAGACGACCGATGACAAGTAGAGGGTAGGAGAGAGAGACGACTGTTAACAAGGAGAGGGAGAAGACCGGTGACAAGTAGAGGATGGCAAAGGGAGACGACCGATGACAAGTAGAGGATGAGATATGGAGACGACTGATAACAAATAGAGGAGAGAGAGACGACTGATGACAAGTAGAGGATGAGATATAAGACGACCGATGACAAGTAGAGGGTAGGAGAGAGAGACGACTGTTGACAAGGAGAGGGAGAAGACAGATGGCAAGTAGAGGATGAGATATGGAGACGACTGATGACAAGTAGAGGATAGGAGAGGTAGAAGACCGATGACAAGTAGAGGATGAGATATGGAGA